ACTGTTTTCATCTTGCTTTTATACTTTGGTTATTGTCTTCCAGATGAGTCCAGAAGTGTACTCACCTTATGCTCGAGATTGGGGTCTGCAAAAGTCGTTACCAGAGAGATTGTTTGATCTGTTGTACTGCGATAAACCAGGACGAAACAGCGAGATAATGTTTTTGACTGAGAATTACCGGTGCCATTCGGAAATACTGCAATTTTCTTCATATAACTTTTACGGTGAAGGCCTGAAAGCCAGCAGCGAGCAACCTTCACACCCAAGGTTACAACCATTGTTATTCTACTCTGTCTGCGGCATGGAAGAAGCCAGAGAAAACTCGTACATCAACGAAACGGAAGTTAAGGAGGTTGTAAAGAGGGTCAAGGAGCTCGCAAATGATTGGCCAGTGGAGTGGAAAGTCAAAGATCTTTCTCGGATTGGTGTGATATCTGCATACAACAGCCAGGTATTTAGTTTAGTTTTGCTTGTTTGTTGTTTTATTTGCGTGACGCCCTTCCTGAGGGTAGCCTACCATTGTAAAGAAGGAATAGCGTAATACTAAATACTCTTTGATTGCAAACACAACTGACAGTCTTGGTTTTCTCTTGGATGAATGAACTTTCAGTGCCCGTTATGAAGTGAGAGTAGCTAAACCTGACGCTGTTCGTTTACATTGTTTTTTTTGTGTGTGTTTTATTTTCTTCTCTCTTTTTCTTCTCTTTATTTTTTCAAACCTTCTCTCTGCCGCGGTCTTTTCTAGGAAAGCTGAATTTATTGAACTAATTTTCCAGAAAAGAGGCATCCAGTTATTGAGGCATTTTACATGGAACCATTTACTTGACATTTGTGCAGTTTTGTTATCTCTGTACCAGTTAATTACAAGAACTATCATTATGTACGCAGGAATAAACGAGTCTATAGCCATCTCTACTTTAGTGGATAGAAATGAATTTTATTCCATAATTCGATAGATATTTTCAGTAAAATATGCTTTTTCATAAAAAAACTGTACGACGAATATTGTGTAGGTGCGAGCAATCCGAACTTTCCTCAGGAAGGAGAGCAAGGAGCTGGGAAATGTAACAGTGGAAAGTATTTACAATGTCCAAGGTAAGCCCTTACGGTTTAAACGTAATTAAAACGATTGTGCTATAAAAGACGTAAGAAGAAGTTTGAAAGGTCATGGTCTAGCTGTATCAGGACTGAGATATAAATGATATTGACTGCCTACTGTACTTGTGATAAATCTTGTCAACTTCTTGTTGCGAAACTTAAAAGGTTTGCCTTACAATATGGAGCACATGCGAATGATAGTGAATATCTAACGGAGTGAAATCGGCTAATTCGGATTCAATTGCATCAAAATGTTTCCTAGTCGAGCTGAAATATAGATATTTTTAAATATAACTGAGGACTTGAAAATATAAGTCATTTAGGGAGCTCCACATCATTCAAATTCTTATCGTAAAAGACTTAATAATATAATTCCAGCACCTAGAGATATCTGTGTAATCAAACTTGAATTTTTAATCATAACTTAATCCAAAATATCTATGAGCTACACGTAGTTCATAATAACATTACATCCACTTTTTTGAAGGGAAGAAACAAATTTTACGAAGAAGAAAAAAAATCACTGAATTTCCTAATTATGAACAATTTCGGCTCCTCCGCTCGAGCAACCACGTGAAGCCTGTCTCATGCTTGATTCATTTAACTCGCTTATTTCATCAGGAAAGGAATTTCGTGCCTTGTTCATCAGCACTGTCCGCACATCTCTCACCTTCCCAAAGCTCGACACACCTGAAGATAATAGTCAGCAACTTTACTGGGAATTCTTCTCTGACCCTAAACTCTTGAACACGGCTGTAACCAGAGCGATGTCCTTAGTAGCCATCGTAGGAGATCCTATTTCCCTTTGCAGTGTGGGTGAGTGTAGAGGAAACTGGAGAGATTACATCAGACGATGTGACCAACTTGGGTCTCTGTTTGGAACAACATATAGAGAAATAAGGAAAGTTGTAGATGCCCCTTTCCCCAATATTCCTTTAAATCCTGAGGCAGCAGATTTTGTTCCAAGTACCAACAAGGAAGAGAAATCTCCTCCAGCAGAGAGTGAGAAGTACCCTGAAGAGTTGCAAGATAAAAGTGCGACAGAAAACAGCCTGGAAAATGGGATGACCGTGTCAGGGATTGAAAGATGTCACACACGAAAATTGTTTACGCTGGGAGAGGTCACGTCTAATGAAGAAGAGAGACAGCAAATAACAAATCCATCCTTCACGGACGGTGTGCAAGGTGATTCCTTTCCAAAACAAGACAAACTTATGTTGAATCCTGAAGTTAAAAGAACGTCGGAGCTCGAGAGCGATGAAGGTAGCACCGACCAGAGTACTTTAGACGTACTCGAAAATGCAATGACCGTGCCAGGGACTGAAAGATGTAACACGCAGAAAGTGTTTACGCCGGAAGAGGTCAAGTCTGATGAAGGAGAAGAGAGACACCAAGTAACAAATCCATCCTTCGAGGACGGTGTGCAGGGTGATCCCTTTCTAAAGCAAGACAAACTTATGTTGAATCCTGAAGTTAAAAGAACGTCGGAGCTCGAGAGCGATGAGGGTAGCATCGACCAGAGCACTTTGGCCGTCTTCGAAGAATTTCGTCGAGAGAGTTTTGAAGACGAAACAGTGTTTTCAAGGTACTTTGACAGGATAATACAGGCACTTGTACAAAAGTGTAAAGAAACTGAAGAGAGAGAATTAAAAAAGTCCTTACAGAATGAAGAATTTCCTACCTTGCAAGATGCCGCAACTCTACGCCCAAAGAGATCGCAAGTGAGGTATCATCCTGCCAAACGTAGCAGTCAAGTGAATTCAAGTTTTGCAAGCCTTTCTTCTGAAGACTTCCAAATCTATATCGACGCCAAAGGTAGGCAAAAGGCTCGACTTGTAAATCCTGGATTTCGCCAAAAGGAGTCTGAACGATTGAAAAGGCTCACAAAACCCGTTAAGCAAGATGATTTCCTCGACACAGAGATTCTTTTGAACTTAGTTGGTGGACAACCTCTCACTTATCTTGCAACTACACTTCGCCTCGATTCCGAGGCTGTTCACAATGCCTATGCTGTGGTATCGGACACGAAAACCCCCGACATCAAAATCAAGGGACGAGTAAAGAGGGTGTTCGACATGGATTATGTTGTTGTGAGAGTTGAAGATAATCAATCTGATGATGAACTTCCCTGCCGCCGAGGGAAAATTGAGGGTAAGTTCATTTATTTCTTTGGCGTTATTTCACCGAGTGGTCCGGCTCACTGCAGGGCATCAAAAATTGCTAGTTTGCAATTTGAATCATAGGTTACAGGGCTATAATTGGCAAATGGCACCAGCACCAGTAGCCATTACAAAACAAACATTTAACTTTGGAAGACATTTATTGAGGTTATGCAAATGACACTACTTATTCCCCTGTTTTTTTCCTTCATAGGTGTGCTTCATCACATAATCAGCCCTCACGAACGTCAGTTTGTCTGTAAGGTTGATTACGAGAATCCTGACCTTATGCATCCAATCAATAAGTCCATCCCAAGAATCGTAATACTATCAACAGAAGGTGTGAGAGGTGTGCCCCTCTACAAGGAAATGCGCGAGGGTAACGAGAAGAAAGTCCAAGTCGACGAGATGGATCCCAAAGAATTCCTTAGTGGAAAATATCTGTTTCTCGTACAGTATCTACAATGGAGACAAGATTGCACCAGCCCTTTAGGCATCCTAATTCGAAAAATACCACAACAGCACACTGTGGAGGCTAGCATGGAGATTTTGTTTGCAGAGCATGGAATTAGAAAGTCATTCGACGGAACTTGTAAAGGAGAAGTGCAAAGCAGGTTTCCATCTTCTTGGTCAATTCCAGATCAGGAAAGGAAGAGGCGTTCAAATAAAGTAATTGATGGTGCGTTTACTATCGATCCTGAAAATTCCAAGGATCTCGATGATGCACTTTCCTTGGACTCCTCCTCAGATTCTCTGTACCGGGTTGGAATTCACATAGCAGACGTAAGTTATTTTGTGGAAGCTGGGAGCCATTTGGACAAAGAGGCATTCTTTCGCTGCGTATCCTACTACCCTGGGCATGACTACCAAAGTGTTCCGATGTTACCGCGTGAGCTCAGTGAGAATCATTGCAGCCTTCTTCCTGGTAAAGATAGGTTATGTTTATCAGTGTTTGTTGACATGTCAGGCGAGGGAGAAGTGGTGGGTGAGCCACAGATAGAACGCACAGTCGTAAGATCCTCTTGTCAACTCACTTACTCCGACGCCCAAAAAATCATTGATGGTCAACAAAGCGAACTCCCTAAGATACCGCAAAAAGTTGAAAGTGATATTCGAACCCTGAATGTCCTTGCCCAAAGTAGAAGAAAGCTGAGACTTCGAGAAGCAAGCTTTGATCATTGGTCAAACAGCAATGAAACAGAGGATTTTGAAGCCCACGAGTTAGTGGAGGAGATGATGATCTTGGTCAACGAAAAGATAGGAGAATTTCTTTCTTCTCGAGATCCACAAGTGGCACCTTTACGCATTCAACTGCCACCCAAAGATCACAAATTGAAAGAATGGGTTAAGCAGAACGGACAGTTTATCAAGTATTCACTGTTTCTCCGTGGCATTTATGCGGATCAAGCGCTAGAACAGATGTCGAAAGATGTTCAGACAAGAGACGTCGCAGAGTTTAAAGTGACAGAGTCAGTTTGGTCAGACCTCTGTAGCGCTGCAGAATCTGGAGACGGAGCGCAACTAAAGAAACTGATTTGCGACGAAAGAAATTATACACAGTTGGCTGTTGTAAAGTCACAGTTTCAACGTATTCAGCAGAAGGCTCAATACGTTTGTGAGAGAGATCAACCGGAGGAAAACATTATCCATTTCTCTCTGAGCAAGCACCGGTATACGCATTTCACGTCACCCATTCGAAGGTATATCGACATTCAAGTACACAGGCTCGTCTTGAATTTAATCCCCGGAGAGCACGGTGCAGAAAGGCCTTCACAGGATCACATTGCCAAGGTGTGTCGACGTTCCTCGTTTGCTCAGGTTAACAGCAGAAAGTTTGACAGAGCATGCCGTAAAGTTCATTTGGCTGCGAAGCTGAAGGAAACAAGCCAAGAAGTAACAGCAATTATCGCTTTGATCGAGGATAAGAGAATGCGGTTCGAAATAACAGACCAAGAGTACAACCATTTACCGAAAAAAGAGACTGAAGTTAAGTTTAGCAGTCTTAACCCATTCGAATTCTCTATCGAGCGGGATGGTTCAGAAATAGTCCTTACCTGGAAGTTAAGGCTATACATTGCTCAGAAAGAGAGCGAGACTGGAAATATTGAAAACCTCGATGATGAAAGGAAGAAAGTACTTCGTCTTTTATCTAGTGGTAATAGTGGAACAAGGGGAGTCCTACACTTACCCGTGAAAAATTGGCAGAAACTCTTGGAGGCAGCTCGAGGAAATGATTACTTAACAGCTAAAATGATGATTGAAGAAATCAAAGCAAAGCACCAAAGAGCTCTGGGACACCAACATAACCTGCCCAAAACGGAAAAATTTGATCCAAAGATGGAACACTTTTACGAAAAGCAAGTTTCTCTGAGGAGGTTCGACGTAGTGCAGGTTCAGCTGAGTGCGCACATGACAAATGGAATGTTAGACCCCAAGGTTCAGCTTTTCAAGATTAATCCCTACGTCCATATTTGCATTGAACATCGCACATATCCAATTATGTGTTTTGCCACCACAAAAAGATACAGAGCATCGCAGAGACACTACTCGAGTTTAGATAAGTATATCGCCGTGTGGGAACCAGTTCTTGCCATGGAAGCCGCCAGAGTAGCTGTAGACGAAGCTAACGAGTTCACCATTCACGATTTGGATGTCATTTGGAGGGAAGAGGTCAGTGAAATTCCACAAGGGTCTTTCAGCCTCAAAAACAACTTCTGCGCAACTCGTCAAATCGAGTTCTATCCAGGGGACTTTGTTTGCATCCGCGTCTGTGAAGACACTTACATAAAGGAAACACATTCTATTTTCAATGACAGGAACAAATATCAGGTAACTACAAACATATCACTTTTTTCTTCAAAATGACTGATAAAAATCAATATCTAGATACGATAAAGGAAAAATCTGCCACGGGACTTGGCAGCTAGGTATCCGCTCTTTAAAAACTGATTCAATGCAAACTAAGCTGCTTAAAAAAGTACTCCTTTGGTGCCATTTGCCTCATTGTGTTCGAAACTTATCTTTCGAAAGGTAGATCTAGAGTAAGAAACAGACAATGGGATGCAGGTAATTCGCTTTGCGTTTCATGAATTCATACAGTATTCAAAGGGCAATCGCCGTTAGGTCCATTAGGTTGAAGAATAAAAAAAGGGAATTAAAAAAGGCATTTTGATTTTTGAGATAAAATTACTTATTTAAACAAACCCGTCAAATGACATACACACAAAAAAAAGTCAAAACCATTTAATGTATTACGACACATTCAGTTTTGTTGAATGGATAGAAATCTTAAAAGGATTAAAAAACCTTTGGTCTGAGGCACGGTATATAACTGGCAATTGCAGTTGTAAAAGACTCCTAAGCGCAGAAATCCAAAGCAGGTGAACAGACAACCGCGTTCGGCGGTTTCCAAGCTCATTGTGCAATACAACATTTTCTATTACTTTTATACAAGATTTTAGTGCCTGATTGTAGTGTCTGTAGAAGAGGCTATGAAAAGTATGGAAAGTAAAAATGGCTCCATTTCTTTTCTTGCGATGCATAATTTTATTTAGCAAATTTTTCGCTCTTGCCTTTATTTGACAAGCATCTCTATTGGGTCCTTGTCAGCCAAATTGCTACAACTCGGAATACGAGCTCAATAAGTGGAATTTGTATAAACAATTTTTCTCGGTATCAGCACAAAGGTAGTTATGTATATTTATGGGATATCACTTTAGCTTTTTGAATGGAGCGTATGTTTATAACAAGCTTTTAACTCTCTCTCTATCTCTCTAGGAATTAAAGATAAATTCCGCTTTTGAAGAACAACCCAGGTGGACGACTGCAGACACTACGCCATCCTTGAGAGGCAACTCACGAGTAGCCTTATCAGGTATCTGGGTGGGACACTGCGTTATCAGACGTGTTTTGATTTCCGATGGGCCCACAAGGACAGTTGAAATGGATTTACATCAATCAGCATCAGATTTTCCCCGAGAACTGTTAGACAGCAACCATCCGAGTACACTAACCGTTATCCACAGATCACTTCCTCACAGGTAATTAAATCAGATACAGTTTAATCTAAGTGATCTCAGACATCTTTGAAATTCTTTGATGACTGCTTAGCTCCACACACTACATACTTCGAAATATTAATATGCTGATGGTTCTTGATGTCAGCCTGATTTTCTCAGAACTAAGTGGACGGCCGTACTTCGACTTATTGAAAATTGTTAGTGTAAAAACAGTTTATTTATTCTTCTTTGGAATTTGGAAACCTTCTTACCATTGTCTTGGCTAATATTGCTGATTCAAAAGAGATTCATAAATTACTTTTAATAACAATATTAATAATAATTGAACTCTTATATTGCGCGCTTTCCATGAAGTGATCAAGCGCGCATTACATGTACCTTTGATTCGAATGTGTCATTTAATCAAAGGAAGAGTGAATGACTAAGCCCCTTGTAAGGTTGAGATGGCTGAGATTTATCCAACCACGCTTGTAACTAAGGCAAAATAGGACACATGTAAAATTCATTTCAAATTTGCAAACAAGACAGGAAATTAAAGGTCCATCGATGAATGCAATTGCTAATTCAAAATAGCTTATTTAGAATTGCAGTAAAGGATAGAAAAGTAGGACTTACCCAGCATAAATGTTTGGCTGGAATTCATCGTTGATTATTTTCTTGGTTTTCAGACGGATGTTTGCAGCTCTCGAAGAGCTAAGAAATGCGTCCAAACTGGCTCAAGACATATGTTTGGGGAAGGAGCGAATTAATGGTCAGCATTTAGAGATGTTAGAGTTGGTTTACCAGGATTATTAATTCTATCGCTGATTTAACAATACGCATTACCGAAATGAAGGAGAAAGACGAATTTATTGTGTGGAAAATGCAACCTCAGCAACCTTAGCAACCTTAAACGGTTCAGTAGGTGGTCGTACTGATCTCTGATCTCTAAGTGGAGTACTAGGTAGGCTCTCGCACGCGAAGGTAGCTGGGGGGAAGGAGGAAAATAAAAATTATAAATAACTCAGACACACTCAGGGTAGGCGACAAATTGAAAAATGAGGTCAATAAATGACTAAAAATAAGTAGATAAAACGCTCATGAATAGCGACAAGAATATTGCTTTAAAAAAATCAAGGGAAGATTTTAGCCCACAAATTTAACCGAGTTTCAAATCTTTTCATAGTTTAAATCGACCAGAAATAAGTACGAGCTTACATAACAGGCTCTAAAGAGGTTCTCTGTGTTTGAAACCCTTATTAGGGAGGTTTGAGTCTCCCCTTCCACCTGACTTCTCAATTGTGACAGAACACCCCAAGAGCGAATTTCACCCACTGAATGCATTTCAAGAAGCAGCTGTTAAAGAGGCAATTGTTGAGCCATTTACCCTTATCCAGGGACCTCCAGGTATTTATTTTTCTTTTCTTTTTTTATTAACACCATAAAATAGGATAAGGACACTTTTCAACTGAATACATCCAATTCCTATGTAAAAATTATACATTTAGGCCCTATGTGAACATTTATGATCACAACTTTCTATAACCAGATAAGTCTTTTTCAAGCTCGAAACATTTTTTAGGGTACCCAATTAACACTATAAACTCAGATGATAAAACCAAATTATCTTGTATAACAAATAAGAAAGGCATTTTTTGTTTGAACAGTTTTTTCCTTTATTTTTATCCTTTTTTAGGTACAGGTAAAACAGTGACGGGCGTCCACATCGCTTTCTGGTTCGCGAAACAAAACAAGCAAGGATGTCTCGGTTCTCACGATGCCACTGATCCTTATACCCCAGACGAACCGAGAGCACCACCGCAAGTTATTTACTGTGGTCCTTCAAACAGATCAGTTGACGTTGTTGCTGGTAAGCTTCTCTAAAAGAAGATTTAGCCGTTTTTCTCTTATCATTACCGTTGCAGAGAAATCTGGGTGACGAATATTCTATCGTTTTTTGTTATGCAATAAAACATACGTATTTTCCGGACCAATACTTTTCATTCATGGAAAACCAAAGCATGAAATAATTATTGGCTTGATCCCAAATAAGCGTGATGGACAAGGGGAAAAAAATGTATATGTAAATTGTACAGTGGAAGAAGATTCAATCTCTAAATTTCTGTATTCTTAAGAATAATGTTCCTAAAATGGAAAATGACAATCAAGTACTTTGATAATTACCTTCCTTTTCCCTCGACTTCTTTCTGTAAAGAATATATGCTCAGAATTCCTGGCCTCAAGATCATTCGTGTCTATGGTGATCTGCGGGAACAAGCAGAGTTTCCAATCCCAAACAGACGTAAGTACCTGAAACAGTCCACCGATGATGGAACCGAAATACCTGAGAGGCTGAAAAAAGTTTCGCTACATCACATAATTCGAAAACATCCATGTCCAGATGCTGATGAACTTAGGAAGTATGAACGGAAGTTTGAGGATGATAGGAAGGAAAAGCAGAGGACCAGCGATCAAGAAGTGGAAACATATTGCAAGGTTCGCTTCTATCTCATGCATGCATCCATTCATTCATTCATAGTTTCTTTCTTTTAGCCAGTCAGCCAGTCGGTCAGTAACTTGATTTTCCTCTTTATTGTTTGTTGAGTTCAATCATCTTTTAATATTTACACGATTATTTCTTTATTAACTCGTGGGTTTGTTGTTTACTGATTCTCACATCCTCAGTTAATTGGGAAAGCTGAAACTTGGGCACTTCAATCATCAGGAGCCCAGATTATACTGTGCACATGCTCGGTTGCTGGTAGCCATAGGATTGTAACAGCTTGTGATAACGTTCAACAATGTATCATCGATGAATGCGGCATGTGCATGGAACTTGAATCTCTTGTACCAATCACTTTCTCAAGGGCAAACCAAGTGGTGTTGATTGGTGATCATAAACAGTTACAGCCTGTTGTTAAAGACCAACAGGCAATGACGCTTGGTTTGAACATATCAATGTTCGAGAGGCTTTCTGACCGAGCCCAAATGCTGAAACTTCAATACAGAATGGTAGTCGAACATTTCATTATCTAGGGTTGTTTTTTCCACAATGGATTTTGTATTTTCAATTTATAGAACATAAATTATGGGCCCATACATTAAGCAGGCTGTGCTTAATAATCATTCCAACCTTTATCAACAATTCATAGTCTACAGAAGAGCACTGCAGGCCGTAGCAGACTTTTGTTATCTTGCATGACTTGAAGAATAATTTAGAGTCTTAAGACTTGTCCAAGAACGTAGAAGCATCATAGCTGAGTTTTTCTCTAATATCCATTTTTGCATTGTAAAAAAAGGAAACAACAAAAAACTGCCAAGCTTTTCTAAATTCATAAGATATTCCCCTGTAATAATGATTTTCCTCTATTTACATAACCTATTAAAAGTTTCTACTCAGAGCTTATTATCACTTACTCAGTGCGAATACACATATAGGGCCGAAAGCTATCTCCCCTTCCTCCTAGCTATTTTCTTTTCCTTTCTTTTTT